GGAAGGTTTGCCAGCTCCAGGTGGGGAAACTCTTGGAGAATTGGGGACAGAACTTGGGGAGGACAGGGACCTCAGTGGGGTACAGCGCCATCGAGTCCACCCCCCAAAGCATCCATTTTCTCCAGGGGAACGGAGCTCCGTAATCCGGAGCTGTAATTCCAGGGGATCCCCAGGCCCCACCTGGAGGCTGGCATCACTTCCAGGAGAACATAGTTGATGAGATGCCCTGTGTCATGACCCCCAGGGAGTTGCCACCTCCACCTGCCTCCACTCTGGACTTTGGGTCCCTTGAAAAGGCCCAGAGTACCCTCCCAAGCCTATCCAAAATGCCCCCTTTTAAGCCAAGAACATAGGCGTGATGACCAGGCAGAGAACACTTAAACAAATGGTTTATTAACACAGCTGCGGTGGGTCAAGTGGTTAAGACGCTGAACTGCAGGCTGTGGAAGGTCGGTAGTTCAGCAGTACGAGACCCGGGTGCCGCATGACGGAGTGAGCTCCCGTCTCTTGTTCCAGCTCCTGCCAACCTAGCAGTTTGAAAGCAAGACATTGCACGTAGATAAATAGGTACTACTTCAGTGGGAAGGTAACAGCGTTCCGTGTGCCTTGGTGTTTAGTCATGCCGGCCACATGACCACGGAAATGTCTTCGGACAGCGCTGGCTCTTCGGCTTTGAAACGGAGATGAGCACCGCAGCCCTAGAGTTGGATTCGACTGGCTTTCGAGCAAGGGAACCTTTACCTTTACTGGGTCAAGGAAAACCAGACAAGGTGCTTTAAAATATATAACAGTGTTTAAAGGCAAAATAAACGAATCTAACGTGACTACCTAGTTCACTTAGCTAGCCACTATTTCAAGGCTCACAGCCCTCCCATACCAGGCCTCTGAGCCAAGTTAGGGATCACAGTTCCCTTCAGTTTAGCTCTGTGAGAGAAAAGAACACAATTTCCCACAGCCCACAAAGAATCACCTCAAAGAATCCCTGGACACTGATTAGTTACAACCGTCACTAAGCATTGTGGGGATTGTAGGCTGTGTTTGCTTTCCACTGCCATGCAGGTCTCTTCTAGGACCAGGCCGCACTAGGCCTTGCTCCCAATCCTGCACAGATCATGACATCCTGACATCTCATTTTATATTAGGTCTGTCTTCATTGTCACTTTTAGGCGAGTATTGAACCCTCTGGAGTTCTGGGATTTTTGTTCAGATGACCAGAAATTTTAAAAGGGCCATATATGGACTGGAATTCTGTTCTGCTTGTGAAAAGAATGAGTCGAATTTGACACCACTTCTCTGGGCCTCCACAGAAGCCTTCTCCTTAGCCTGCCAAGGATTGTAGCCTGAAATTAAAATGGCCCCTCTTCTGTAATAGTTTTGGTTCCGAGTTCTTGGAAGCAAGCGGCAGGATCGATTTTCCGTTACCAGTAAAACGCAAGGAAGCATTTGGCTTCTGAAGCTCCAGGAGCCCCTTTTTTTCTTGCATGCTTCTGGGGCGGGCCTCGTAATTTCAGTTGGGGGGACTGTTGTGCACAGAAGGAGGGGGAGGGGGAAGGAAAGGTTTCTAATTTGTTTTTTTAAGGCCAGGGCGTCTTGGGTAACAGCTTTTTCAGTCCAAAGTGCTTCTTGTTAAAACTGCCATATTTCTTTAAATTGCCTGTGAAACCGAAGCCGCTCCCTGTGGAGCTGTGGTCCCACTCTTGGGGCGAAGCCACCCGTGAGTCAAGCCTCCTTAAAATAACAGAATCCTCCTGCAGGGTATTAATTAGGGATCAAACCAAGCGACATTGTTGCAGCCATGTCAACCGAGATTAAGGCTTGGGCGCTGAACGTTGGCCTGCAAACGTTTTTGCTCTTTT